CGCCCCGGGCTCCCGGCCCCCCGGCCCCCGGCCGCCCTTCCCTCGGCCCCCTGCGTCCTCTCCTCCACCCGCTGCGCACCTGCGACCTTCCCGAGCTCTTCGGGGGCACCTCTGTGCCACCTTGTGCCTGCACTTGACTTCCTTTCCAGGTGTCTCCTCGTCACTCCTTCGTTGATCTCTCGGGATCGGGCCCGAATTGCAGCCCCAGGTTTTTGCCTGACCTTGGGCATGACACCAAGCTCTCCGAGCCTTGTTTTCCCCCCTCTAATAAACTAACCACGGGCTTGTTCTTAGGGCCCAAAGAGAGAGTGACTATAAAACCCTACTGTAAGCTGTAACAGTGGTTTATAGGCATGTGTTACGATGGGCTTCCTTGAACATCGCCCGTGGCTTCTCGAATGCTCCTGTTCTTACCTTCCTTTTAAAAAGTTTTAACTATTCTCTTTTATTCTTTGCCCATCTTCCTGGTTATCTTCCCTTACCCCGTCAATGGTCTTTGTGGGGAGTTGCGGGACAGGGCATCTCGGACAACCAGGTCAGCCTTCAGGGCAACGTCTGCATCTCTTCTTGGTGCTGCCAAGGTTCATCTCTCCCAAGGAGTCATTGCTGCCGGAACTAAGTCTCTCTGCTGTGATGGACAAACTTTATTAGCTTATAAATAACACGTTTATGATGGTAGTTAAATAGGAGTGTAAGAACTGTTGAGGTAGCTGGCTGCCTTGTAGCCTCTTTTACTGACCACTTGTGCAGTGAGTCCGCTTGGTGTATGTACTTACCGCACATGTATTTGTCTATCGTACTCTTCCTGTCTCAGATGGTCTAGAAATCTGGGTCAGCTATTTCTTCCTAAACTCCTCACCCCACAGATGACAAGTTTAATCTTTTTGACCTTGTTTTACAACTTGTACTTACCTAAAGCCACCTTTATAAAAGTCACCTTGTTAAATTTGCTTGTTAGGAAGTCAGAACTTTGTTCACGTGAAAGGTTCTTGGGATAGTAAAAAAAAAAAAAAAAAGGATGGAACAGAAATGTTAAATTGCATTTCTTGACATTCTGGAAGATAGGAGGGTTCAAGTTATTGAAGTTACTTGGGTTGTGTATTTTGGGGAGTTAGACTGGTGGGTTCACCCTGACTTTTGCGTTTAGAAAGGGAGGAGAACAAGACTATCTGAGGGGTGGTTTCCTAAAGAATTCATTAAACAACCATGGGAACTTTTTATGCAGATGTCTCAGCTCAAAGCAAAGGGGGTAAAGTGTGTGCAGAAGTATTCCACTACCAATCGCTCAGAGCCTGCCTTAGATTACAGTGTACAAACTGGACTGTTACAGCTGTGCTAATCCACTATAAAAGCAGAAATCTTCTAGAAAGGACAAGCATTAGTATGAACAGAATGGCCCTCTCAGTGAGAGAGAAAGTACTAAAAGGAACTTAGTCTTGATTCAGTCAAAAGTATGGATTGACTTCTCCATACCTACTGAAACTGTTACCTGCAGGCTTGGGACTTGGTGGTGGTATAAATAATACAGTTTTTGGTAATTTGAGAAATGGCACTAGAAATAAGTTTACATATGAACTTAATGTTTGGGGTGATTGGGAAGTAGTTTTCCTGATGATGTGGGAGCGGCCCTGCTCCACTCCATGTTGGGCAGCTCTACAAGACAATTTTCCTAAAGCAGCTTTTTGGGATTATGTTTCTTAAGAATAATAAGTAATTATTATTCTTGTTTTGTTACACAAATACAGCTTATTTTGTTAAAAAAAAAACAAAGTTAAACACTAGAGCAGAGCATAAGGTCTCAACACTCATTGCGTTCCCTTTTGGCCCCAAAGCCAGTGTCCAGGGTCAGTATTGACAACTTCTGTGTAACCCTTCGGCTGTAGCATCTGAGAAGTGTCCAGGCCAAACGTGAGAGTCAAATCCAGAGTTTAGAGGGAACAGTCTGCAAGACCACCCTCACTTCTGACATCAGCTGCAAGTTTTGGGGTTCTCAAAACCACCCTCAGTTTTGATGGTTATTTAGAGAAGGACTCACAGAACTCCCTGAAAGCTGGTATGCTCACGTTGTGGTTTATTACAGGTAGAGGATAAAGATTAAAATCAGCCAAGTGAAGAGGCTTCTAGCAGAGTCTGAGGAAGGAGCAGAGGTGAAACTTCTGTCGTCCTCTCTGTGTGGACTCAGAATGTGTTAAATTCCTAGCACTGATATGAGACAGTGTGCACGGGAGTATTGCCAACCAGGGAAACTCATATGAGCCTCGGTGCTCAGAGTCTTTATTGGGGTTCCATTTCATAAGCGTAACTGATTCATTAATGGACCACGCTGATACTGTGTGACCCAAAGCCCCCCTCTGAGTCACATTATTGGTCTTTCTGGTTTGGTCAGTTCCCACCCTGAATCGGACTGTCAGCCAAGGCCAAAGGCCAAACTTCCTTTTGGGCAAGGTTGTATTTTTTTTGTTAAACAGCATCCTTCCTTTTTTCATGGTCCCTTTCTACTTAAAAATACACTCTTTTGTTTTACCACTGACGAATGTCTACCTTCTAGAACATGGAGGAGACAGAGGCTACTGGGAGAGTTCTCTCAACCTTGAGTCTTTTCTAGCTAAAAATCTCTCTCAATATCCATCAGTCTTTTTCTTTCCTCTGCCTCTGAGGAAGAGAGAATCCCATCGTTCCATGAACTCTGTGTCTGTTCTTTGCTCTGCCTATCATGGGACAGGCATTTAGGCATTTCCTCTCACTTTTGCCTCTTTGATTTCTTCCCATTCACTGACTTCTTTGCCTCTATCTACAAACATGTTCTTGTCTTGCTATTCGTAGCTCTCCTTACTGCTAAGTTTTATTCCGTTCTTGTAGAGCCTTGTTAGAACCCTATTGTCTAATAAAATCCAGACTCGGTGTGGGCCCAAGGTAATGCTATACATTGGTATAGCATCTTATAGTTTTGAAAATACTTAAGTCATCCTGGGATGTTTTGTATGTAGTGGGGGCTTGGTAAGAGCTTGATTAATGAATAATTTGGCTGGGCAGAGAGTAAGAGTCCTCTACTTGGAGGAAAGAGCAGGAGCAGACGCACGGAGGGGTGAAAGGGCATGGCGAGGGGACCAGCATGAGCGCCTTGTGGAAGAGACTGTGGCGAGCACTGAGCCCAAAAAGGTAGGGGAGCCAGATTCAGTGGAGCCTTGAATGCCACGGGCAGGGCTAACAGGTTTGGAACCAGACTGCCTTTGTGACCCACACTGTGATTTTGGCCGTAAGTCCTGTGGCTACACAGAGGGTGGTGAATGGACCTGGTGACCTTGAGATTAGGATTCTGCAGAGGTACCCGCCAGAGGTGAGGGTGCCTAAACTCGGTTGTGGGAAAGGTGAGCAGGGAGGGGGCAGAGCCCTAAGCAGGGAGTGTCCTTGCACAAGTAGGAAGGGGTGAGGGGCTGTGTGTCTAGAGGGTAAAAGGTACTTAATGAATACTGGTTGCATGAGGAGTGCTCTCAGTACGTGGGAGGAGAGGCCCGCTCCCTGTGTCGCTGGTGCTTTGGAAAGGGTGCAGTTCTAGGCTCCATGTTCTGGGAGAGGGTGCAGTTTATTGGCAGCACCCTGTAAGCAGGGAGCAGTGAGGATAGAGAAGCTTCCAGTGTCTCTTGAGACAGGCTTTTACAGTATCATTTCTTTGTTGAAATGTTTTGAATTCTCAGAGTTCCAGAGTCCCTAATTCAATTTATTCATTACAGAATGCATTTTCTAAAACCAACTGCTCTGGGAGGCGGTGTATTTTAATGGAAGAACGTGGGCTTTGGAGTCAAGACAGTCCTGCGTCCACCCTTTCCTGGCTGTGAGCTTGGGCAGGTTACTACAGCTCTAAGTCTTCATCTACTTGTGTCTGAAATGAGCTGATGCTAGCGCCTTGCTTTTAGGGCAGCCGCTGGTTCTGATGGACTGATGCGTATAAAGCCCCCGGTGCCGGGAGACGGTGGTAGGAATTGGCCTTTCCTTTCCTTTACGATATCTTAGGTTGTCATAGATTCGCATCTGACTGCTGGCTACATTAGTAGCCTGGCGCATGTTCGTAGTGTTTTGGATTTGGTTGAGTCTGATGTTATAAAAGTTCATTTCATTTTAAACAAGGAAACCCTATTTAGGAGCATCTGGAAAGAGGCGGGGATTCACCAGCCTGATTGAGGTTCAGCTAGTCCCTGGGACAGGACACCTAGAGAGGCTTGGAACCCTAGTGTTCTTTTTATTTCTGGATTTAGAATTCCTCAGGGTTCATTTACCTTCTTGGGATTTTTAGAAGAGCTGCTCCATTTGTCTTTCAGAATCAGCTGTGGCTCTAGTGCAGGCCTAACGGACCTCTGGCATATGGGTGAGCGTTCCCTCGAGACCACCTCAGCGAGCCTGCACGCTCGGGTGACACCCCAGAAATGGAGGTTCCCCCAGAAAACCCCTGCAAGTGGGTTTCTCTCTTCCTCCTCTTCTCCCTCTCTCCCCATAACCTTCCACATTTCTCCCTGACTGCTTTTCCCCAAGGCTCCCAGACTTCTGACCTCACCCCCCGTGCCAGATCCCACTTGACCCCCTTCCTGTTCCTGTGGGCCTCCTCAGGTGAGCTCCCTGGTTCTCTTATTCATTCCACAGATGGGTGTGGAGTGTGGAGCGTCCTGGGGGTGTGTCGGGACAGTGGGGAACATC